ATATATATGCCTTAATTCTAAATTAGGTTAGTTATATTAAAGTATGAGTACGTAGCTGAGAAAAAAATCATATTATGGAAAAATCAAATCTTATAAAGGACTTAATTTTTATCATCTATTGATAAAAGGGCTTGAAAGCCGTCTTAGAACAATGTAACATCAATCTGTTATACCACTAACAAAATGTAGTCTAGTATGGGGTCTTTGGTAAATTGAAGTACTTTCTATATGCACTCGTTAGGGGACGTTTGGTTACAGCAATTATGGGGGTTATCAGTATATTTCAATGTTTGGTTGTGGATATTAACTAAATGCATGATAAAGTTTATACCAATATCATGGGAAGGAGTTGAGTTAGGTGGGTGAAAGTAGATTCAACCGAACACCCTTCGCCCAGAAATTATACTGTTTATATAAGTCAATATTTTTTCATACACATATATTAAATAATGAACCCCGGCCCCTTAGCTTCTTTGTGTTTTTCCGTTCTTTATTTTTTGAATCCCCATGGTGAAAGTTCTGCTCTCGCCGTTGATCATGAGATTATCTATCACATATAGAAGGTGAGATTATAATCTGAGTTATAATTCTGATTATAACCCCAGGATTGAGTTAATTTTAGGGAAAATTTCACATATCAACAACTGGGATTCCTACTTTTCAATTTTATAGCCCATATTTCAATTTACAACTAACTAACCCAAAAATAATAGGCTAAGATTCAACATCCAACTCCAATAAATTCTCAAAATTACTATTTAATTTTTAAAAAAGATTGCTCAAGCTTTTAAGTTAATTTTTGAATCAGCAACTATAACTCAAATATTAGTTCAACAAACCAAATCCATTTAAATGGTGAAAATTAAATTTTTAACAAGCTTAAATATGTGGGTTTAGATTCCGAATTTGATTTTGTGAGAAATTTGGAGTGGGTGTTATTTAGAATTGTTAGAAATTGTATACGGAGGTTGTATATAAAATTTGAAGTCATTTAATGGATATTTGGACGTTTTGAACAAGAATTGTAACTGAAAATCGTGGAAGAAATTCGTCTACAGACGCTTGTATAAAAGTGTATAATAGTGTATAAGATGTGTTTATACACCCATATACACTATTATACAAGATTATACATAATTATACAAAAAACTGACTGCGTCTTCTTCCTTGTGTTTTTTCTAAAATTTAACTCAAATCTTGTTCAAATCTACTCAAAATCACTTCAAATTGAAATTTTGAACTCCTTCTGATATTTTCAATCAATTGGAACAACACCCAACCCAAACAACTAACAAACTCAAAAAATCCTATTTTCAAAAGCAAAGCTTTGAATAGCCTTCAATGGTGAACTTCTACTCTTCAATTTTCTTACATTGCAACCAAATGACACATTGGAGAAGCAATAATAGCGGATGGCCCCTTGAAGCATATGTAGAAGGTGTGAGAAGAAAAGAGAGTGAATACAATGTTTGTGAGAACACAAATTTAACTCCATAAATTTTGAATTTGCTAGTGCTTTCAAAATATGTACAATATGGGCTAGGTAGGGTAAAACTTAAAAACATGGGCTATTTTTTGTTATGGTGTGATGTCAAGTATATTTTCTTGTAATTTTTTCTTAATTTTATCCATAGTCATTGAACTTTTGGGTTTGTTACCCAAAAGTCACTTTTCTTTTCTTGTTACGTAAAAATCATTTAACTTTGTGTTCATTACACAAAAGTCACTTTTCTTTCTTTTGTTACACAAAAATCATTTTACTTTGCTCTAATTATCACAAAAGTCACATTTTTACTTGAAAAGTCTATTATGCGCTTGATATTATATAAACCTTCATATTTATGTAATACCTTCTATATATTATATACTATACAATATATTTTTACCTATGTATTTTATTTATAATTAGAATAACTTAATATTATTTTATTTATTATTTTTATAATATATTCGTATATTTAAATTTTTTTATCTTAACGTTAATTTTCAAGATATATTAGTAGCGTTATTAAATTTGTCAGTAACTTTAATATATATCAGTAGAGAAATAAATCGGCAAGTACATTTCCATGAGAAAATTCTAGGTAAACAAACAAAGAAAATGAGGAAAAAATCATATGTTAATCTGAAGGAAATACCTAGGTAATTCTACATGCGAATTTAGCTGGGGATATTTTCTTGGGGATTTACCTGGGCAATTTGGTTATTTGGAAAATTACACTACTAGAAATTCAGGAAAACCCGTCCAAAAAAACCGACCAAAGTTGGTCGGTAATGGCCAATAACCGTCCAAAACGCGACCATTAATGTGCGGTCGGTATTTTGAAGATCGGAAGGGAATACTGACAAAAGTTGGCCGTAAATTACCGACCAACTTTGGTTGGTCAATTAAATTCAAAAAAAAAGGAATTGCTGAAAAAGTTGTTTTATAACACTGTTAATATATCTTGAAAATTAACGTTAAGAAAAATTAAATATTCGAATATACAACAACAACAACCCAGTATAATCCCACTAGTGGGTCTGGGGAGGGTAGTGTGTACGCAGACCTTACCTCTACCCTGGATAGAGTGGCTATTTCCAATAGGCCCCCGACATCCTTCCCTCCAAGAACTCCCCACCTTGCTCTTAGGGTGACCAACTCACAACCTCTTGGTTGGAAGTGGAGGGTGCTTACCACCAGAGCAACCCACATTGTCTAAAATATATATTATAAAAATAATAAATAAAATAATATATAAAATATGTAGGTAAATATATATATATAGTATATAATATAGAAGTATTACATAAATATGAATGTTTATATAATTTCAAGGGCATAATAGACTTTTCAAGTAAAAGTGTGACTTTTGTGATAACTACAGCCAAGTAAAATAATTTTTGTGTAACAAAAAAAAAAGTAACTTTTGTATAATGAACACAAAGCTAAATGATTTTTACTTAACAAAAAAAAAGTAATTTTTGGATAACAAACACAAAAGTTCAATGACCATGGTAACTCCCCCAGAATTATAATTCTGGGTAACCAACCAAACGACCCCTGACCGGTCATCCGTGTGCTTCTTCTGTCTAATAGTTTCAAGGCTGCATGCATGCATGCTATGAAGAAAGACAACTACACGTAACCATCCTAATAAGTGGGATGAGTAATACAGAAAATAAGGTAGATAACCTGGTAAAGCAAGTTTAAGATAATGCAGATTTAAACAGTACATAAATTAAATCTGGATAAATACAGACATCATAACCAAGAGAAAAGAGAGGAGAGTAATTAAGGAGAATGATCCAAAATTAATTAGGCTTACAGTTCTTGCATGATGACGTTTAGCAGCTCTAATACTTAGAGATTTGCCAGTCCCCAAATCAATGGTCTCTGCGCCATCATAGTTATGGAGAGTTTTATCATGAATCTTGGGTTCCATTCCTGCTGCAACTTTTCCAACTTGCCAAACATGATTAATTCTTGAAACATTAACTGATTGAGGAAGATGTATAGTGGCTTCTATTATGTGATACTGAAGATCCAGAGAACTAAACCTCAATTTGCTTACATTCAAATCAATAGGAGAAGGTAACAACTTGCACTCTATTTTGATATATTTTGTGACATTGTACTTGTCACCAAGAAATGAACCATTTATCTGCTTTATACCAATAAGAGCTTGAGTCCCCACCATTCTTGGTTCTGGTCCAAAGTTCAAACCCCAGGCTAACCATCCTGTTTCACTTTGTAATGCAGCTCCAACCATTACCTGGATTATCGGCGAATTCAGAATTTATAGTTAGTCCGCAGTGGCAGAACCAGGATTTCTAACAAGAGAATTAACAAAAGAAGAAAATTATCACATTTGAGATTTGAATCGCAGTCAAACACAACCTTTTTAATCGTTTTTACTACTAGCTAGGGCAGCCGTGCGCACTAAGCTCCCGCCATGCGCGGGGTCCGGGGAAGGGCTGTACCACAAGGGTTTATTATTTGCAGTCTTACCCTGCATTTCTGCACGAGGCTGTTTCCACGGCTCAAACCTGTGATCTCCTTATCACATAGCATCAATTTTACTAGTTACGCCAAGGCTCACCTTGAACTACTATTCAACAAAATTAATTTATGTATATATACTTGCAGTGTAACTAATTTCCGGTAAAAGGGATATATTACACAATGTTAGTCTGGGTATATAATGAATTTAATCTAAATATATAATCACAAGCATAATATTCTTTTTGTTGTGCATGTGCTTATGATCAAGATGAAAGTAATGGGTTCAGTTGAACCTGGAGGATTCGAGTGTTGTTCTCGAGATTCCATGCAAACTCAACTCCATTGCTATGTTCGTATCTCTTGCATAATGTTAGATTTCTGCTGAGGGCTTCAGACCAGAAGTCATCACTACAACGATGAGCATGAATTGTAATTGAAAATAAAGACAAAAGGAAGATTGAGTTTGAGATCAAAAATATTAAATAAAATGGAGACATCTTCACTTTTTTCTCTCTTTGTTTTTGCCTTTTTCTATTTTTTCTGTTTCTACCTTAAGGTAGGTATATATATAAGAACTAAGTTAAAAAGGGGAAAGAGGAAAATTTAACTTGAGCATGCATCCATGAGTTTTTGCATGGAGTCAGAAAAATTGGAGTTAAAAAGAAGTAATGTATATGTTCTGTTTTCTTTATTCATTTTTCTCACTTTTTGGATAATATCTGAGGTTCTTTTTGGGAACAAAGTGTGAGAGGCTAAAAGCAGCACTCTTCCTAGGTACTTACTTTACTCTTCTTTTTGTTGCTTTTCTTGTTTAAAATGCTTTTACCAAAGTGAGACGCTTCACACTTTATTGTATACTCCAAAATTAATGTGTTTCACGTATTTAGTATGAAGGAATTGCAATGCTAATTTTTTTGAATCAACTTGTCTTTGGATAACACGTTTTCATGATTTTACTATATGTTAGTTGTTGAAAGAAGAATTAAGCAGCTCTTTCAGCTAAGGTCGTATAAGTAAGAATGTAAATTATATCAAGGTAAACAAAAGGAAAAGAGGTCAAATGCTCTTTATGATTGTCTATTTTAAATATTCAGCTTTAATAAAAAAAAATAAAAAAGTCCTGAGAGGTCATCATTGAGCATATTGCAGTCACACTAGAAAAGAGGTATCAAATGGTAATGTGAAAAAAGCTCACATAAAACATCAACGTTTTGTGACATGGCTTGATACAAATGCTGGTTAACCATGATAATAGAATAATTTTTCCATTTAAAGAACGGTGTCCTAAACTTCCCACGACCCTCGTACACTTTACCTCGAGTTGGTGAAGACAGATATATATTCTCTCCGTTCCAATTTAGATGAGATAGTTTGACTTGACACGAGTTTAAAAAAAACAAATAAGGCCTTTGAAACTTGTGATCTTAAAAGCTTAAGGGATAAAAGCTTTGTGGGACTATAACATTTGTATAATTATAAAAGTTTCTCATTAAGATAAAATAAGTAAAATGAAGAGTTTAAAGTTGAATTATTACCAAATTTAGAGATGTGTCATTTATTCTGGGACAGACTAAAAAGGAATGCTTTGTGGGACTATAACATTTGTATAATTATAAAAGTTTCTCATTAAGATAAAACAAGTAAAATAAAGAGTTTAAAATTGAATTATTACCAAATTTAGAGATGTGTCATTTATTCTGGGACAGACTAAAAAGGAAAGTACGTCATCTAATTTGAAACGAAAGGAGTATATAAAAACGTACAATAAGAGCGCTCGTAAACCACTAGGTAGCCACATTTAACTCGCCCCAAGCAATGCACTAAAATACTCTGAGAACATTTGAAACGAATAAATTCATTTTTTGTGTTTCTGAAAATTTGAATAGTGTTATCAATATCCAATTTTACTTTTAAAAGAAGAAAAAAATCGATTAAGCAACATTGCTCAAAATACATGTTAATAGGATCTCCGATTTGAAGACAAGAAGCATCTTTATCCTCTCTTTTCTTTGCATAAGTAAAGGCATGAACCAATTGGCTGAGCTGCACAAACAGTTGACCCTTTTGAGAGCAGGACTTTTCCTTGGCCAAACACTTCTGTTGATTATTTTGCGACTTCACCTTTTAACAGAAGACAAAAACACCCTTGTCCGAAGTGATCATCCTTTTTGCAGCAGCAGTGCCAACAATCCTCTCAAGCTGAATTCAAGTGAAAGTAAATTACGCGGTAAGAACACTACAACGAAACCAAAACACTTGGAAGAAAGTTTAAGAGACAGTACATTGACAGGGTGAGCAAGAAAAAAGGTCGAAGAAGCATGCATGCAAGATATGAACTCATAATTATATATGAGGAATTTGAAGTCATACCCGAAGCTGGTCAAAACGAGAAAATAGAACAGTGCAAGCAGACCCTTGTAGCATGTTTACAACCTGCAGGAGAAATGAAAAAGATCACTTGGTAAGACTCGCGCTCGTGTGAACCACCATAATCCTAATTGGAGGGTGAAGTAGAGATGATTCACCTCTGGGTAAAATTCTTTCCTCTCTGGAAGTGAATAAATGATCAAGTTCTGCATGCCACGTATCTATTTCCCAGGACAAGTTGAACAGACAAAAAAAAATTATAATCATTATGCAAACATTGAATAACAAAAGGCTGATAATATCTTTTAGAGGAATCTAAGGATGTACAACCGATAATTGTGAAAGAAGACAAGATCAATACCAACATTAACTACCAAATAGCTGTGTAATTGAGAAGAAAGTTGGCAACTATCACATGATACTGTTTAAGTACAAATGTTATTAAGAATATGATATGATATGTTTGACACCAGAATCCCCAGACTTCTCGAAATTCTGCAAAGGGAGGACAACTTTAATACCAAAGTGAGCAGCAGGTAAACGACCTCTTGACTGCTGTACGAATCAACATTTTCCTGATCTGGCAAGTCTACTAGATCAGGAATTTAGCCCCGGGAAAAATATATGGTACTTTCAGTAGAAGCACTACTAGTTTTTCCCTAAAACTACATATTTGTAAGGGTACAAAAATCCATAATTCCATCAAAGAATGCTCTATTAAGCAGGACATATAGCAGAAAGTAAGACAGCATGAATAGCACTGAAGATAGAGAACCAAAAGCAGGAGCATTCTTGTGAGCAGGAAAAAGAGTAGAGAAAGTAAGAGAGCATGAATAGCACTCAAGAAAGAGAACCTTGTATCGATGATAGAAGTGAGCTCTTTCTGTGTAAAGCATAATTTTTTTTGTTCCGTTGAAAAACCACACTCGTGCACGAGATATATCACTCTGCTCAGTGTACCTAGAAGCAAAGGCAAACAACTGAACCTTAAACCAGAACAGCATACTCACATAATAACAAATAGCCACTTGGATCACAAAATCAGATTTCATAGACAGAAATGCAAAGCAATCTGAACACAAGATGTTACTCACTCCCCCAACAGACAACAGGATGCCTCTTGTGACTTCAAGAAGTTCCTTACTTGAATGAACTCAAAGTAAGAGCTAATAAATAGCATTATACCACCCTGCAGAACAAAAAAAGGAGTTAAGCAAAGACCATCTCTCATACAGCTAAATGCTTAGGAAAAATGAAATTGTTTCTCGAGCTCAGACGAAAATACCTGAATGGAATCCTTTATCTTGGGGAACACCTGAAATAACAGAGTTCATCAGTGTGAGATTTGAGCATACACCAATAGTACATCACAACTGTAAGACCAACTGATTTGATGATGACATTAACTTTAAAAAATCAGGTTACACATGTAGAATGGTGTGTGGTTATATAGTTATACCATATGAGTTTTCAAAGATCTCGGGCTACTGATTTATTGCCTTATTTGACTAGATGCTCAAATTCTTTCACATGTACAGAATAAGAACAAATGTATAATTCCATAAATAATGAGTAAATGACAATACTGAAGAAAGGAGACTTGGTCTCTCTTTACATCAAATAAAATAGTGCAAATGGTCATAAATAGCTCGGGAGACAAAGGAAGAAATGGGATGTACCGAGATTGTATTGGATAAGATCTTAGTTTATATGCACCATCAGATTTGAAAGTTAAACAAAGATTAGGGGCAGATTTGAAATTTAAACAAAGATTAGGGGCAGTGCCTTAAACAATTCTTTAATACAGACAAGAAAATGGATAAAAAGTGTCAACTTGCGAGCTAATCATTTATACAGATACATGCCCATCTGTGGGCAAAGAATCAAGCGCTCTCGACGTACTCTAGCTTCATCGCCAAAAAGGAATAAGAGTTGCATTTACAATATAAATAATAGCATGGTAAAATATAGGATCTAAGAAAATTAGAGCCTAAAGGATGAATCATTTGGCGGCCAGAACAATGGAGGATTAGACGGATCAGACAATGGGAAGTTGTACCTACGCGAAAAAACTACGATCATACAATTTAGGTGCGGTTTGAATTGGATTACGAAGATTATTTCTTATTATTCAGATAACTGATTATCCGATCCGCGATCATATTTTTATCTGCACTTCCATTATTTTTTTTTTTTTTTTTTTTAGTGTTGTGGTGGGGGGGGGGGGGGTGTTTACAACAACCAACAGATGATTATATTTAAAGGATTTGATAAAATAAGGTGAAGAAAACAAACAGGCATTACGACCCTGAAGCCTAATAAAGAGGATACCGCTGTTGACATTTTTTCTTGTCTGGGAAGTATATTCCATCTTGTTAAAGGCGGAGCAAGCTCTTTACTTACGGAAAGATATCACCACAATTATTTGAGTCGTGTCATCATGACAAGAAATGATCGACAATGCAGAAGAACAACAGACCTTTTTTGTGAAATAATCAAACCGAGCATCATCAGCATCTTCTGCAGTTTTCGCATCAAAACGCTCATAAATCTGCAAGTTTGAGAAATAGCAAAAACCATAAGCAGGGAAAGGAATCTATAGTATTTCCACAGGAACATGATTAATCAAATTCAGGTACGCAATTACCAAACAAAATAGAAGCCAGACAAGATTCAAACTTAATAATACATGGAGCATACAAATAGTGATGCAGATCTTGTACTTAATACAACTTTGCTGCGGACTGTTGAGACATAAAAAAATTCCCACCCTAACTGTTTAAGCTTTTAGATAAGGTGGTCACACAAGTTTTACATGGTATCAGATCCAACTGTAAGCCATTCTGATACTCGTATGTCTGTTTCAAAATTCACGGTTAAACCCAAAAATTGGTTGTAACACGTACTGGAGGTGTTGCACGAATTATATCAATATCAAAAGAAATAAAGTTGATACATTGTTTCGCGATTCCTTGATCTTAGCTGGCTTAAGTAAGACAAATAGAGAAGGATTTTATGACACCGGTAACCGCCTGTTTATCTAGTATCTGGTATTAGGACTAGATGTGAATGAAAGCAAGTGTCATCTTGACTTCCATGGGGACCACAATTTGAACATGCTATTAGAGTAGGCACAGATTCTTGGTTCACGTCCCAACAGCATTCATTATCAAATTGAATGTCCACGTGCTTGCCAAGAAAAAGAATTAGACCGCAGGCAAGAGGTAGTGTTTAAGACATAAAATAAATAAAAGTGTCTCATCTCTATTAAATTAAACTTTTAGATGAGGTGGCATAATATCAACAAAATCATAAAGTGATATGACTACAGACACAAAACTCGATGCATTCCTTTTGATAAACTGAAATTCTTACACTGGAAATTTGTCGGATTCATGCTAAATAAATTAAATATAACTATAAGACCATACTTTTATCACTCACCTGCCGTATTTGAAGTACTACCTTTGGTAAAACACCTTTATACTCGCTTGCCAATTTAACCTGAAAATACAGCACTTAGATAAGCAATATCTCTCTTTTCTAAGCATTCTCACAATATAAGCATGCTGGAATTCATACTGATGATTTCGGACAGACAGAGGATATCTCTAGCCATTTTTTCTTATCTATACTGAATTTTCGAAGATCAGGATACACTAGGAATTTCAAGATAATATGCAAGACTATGCGTCACTTTTATACCAGTGGAGATCCAATTCTATTTTCCCTAGTGTATGCAACCCTTCAAAACTCAAATAAAGTAAGAAGAACAACATATTAAACTCACATTAAAACTTTCATCTCCCACTATTTAGAATAAATTGTATAATGGAAATTTATTCATCATTTTCCATAAGTTTAGGCACATATATCGTCTTCATAGAACAATGTTAGTTGAAGGAAGAGCAGAGAAGTCAAGTGGAGGATTTTCAATTACTTATAAATAAAGGAAAAGACTAACTAAAATTACAGCTTCAAAGTGGCCCCAGACTCAGGGCTTTGATCTGGTAATAAGGGCGCAGCAAGTGATGTAGGGTTTAGCCTCACTTCACTGGTTCGGACCCTGCTGCAGACAAGCCCGGTATTTAAGAGTAAAGGGTAGAGGGTAGGTAGGTCTATTATCTACCGAGTTTTAAACCGTGCGTCACGGGTCCTCAGGGATTTCTCGGTTATTAGAAAAAACCATTACAGCTCTCAAAGTATAGCTTCAAATCACCAGTTAATGGGCAAATAACTTAGTCCAGCCACTTCACAATAAGATGATGAGAAGAAGGCTATCAACGTCTTAACATTTTGAGTGAACAAAATAATTCATTCAGACTGGTACAGTAATTTGCTTTAACAGGTGGACCAATAATTTCTGTCCCCTTTTTCTTTTGCATATCAAGAATAATTTGTACCCTTCTTAAAAGCATATACATCTTTTTTGTGCTAGATGCTCAAACAATGCCCAAAATGCTTATTATTCCCCCAAGTCACCAACTTATGATACATCAAACACCAGGTAACAACCAAAGGAAAACAACAACAACAACAACAACCCAGTAAAATCCCACTAGTGGAGTCTAGAGAGGGTAGTGTGTACGCAGACCTTACCCCTACCCCGAAGGGGTAGAGAGGCTAACAACCAAAGGAAAGGGGTTGACAAAAAGAACAGTCAAAAAGTAACGATATAGCACTCTAAACCAGGAACGGAGCTCCAGGTAGAAACACAACACAATCATGTTAAGGGTTATTAATATCTGAAAGTTTCCCATCACTGTCACCAGAGAAAAGAGGGCCATTATTTCTATGCAATGCCAAATGGACAGACCTTTCCTTCATGGTTGAGGCAATGATGGTTGAATAAACCATTGATGTCTGCATAGGACAGAAAAGAACTTTAGCTCTTAGGCCCTAATTATAAGGATAATTACCAAGAACGATACCAGGATTTACAGCTTATATCATTAGCATCTATCTTTACTGCCTAAACACCACACAAAGGTGGCAAACTTACCTGGATTTATATGAGAAGATAAGATTATGGATTGGCGGTAGAATGGTGCTTGACCGTCTAAATACCTACAATCAACATTCACAAAATCAAATTATTAGCAAAAAGCATCATCATTTCGAGGGAGTGCAACATGTTCTAAGTTTGGGCCTTATATTTATCCTATATTCGTATTGCGGAGCGATGTTCTACGTGAATCCGCATTCAGAACTCACTGAACAACCCACTTTCTTTCGTTTCTTTTTTTCAAAATGGGGGTGGATAACAGAAATAGCAATAAGGAAAACAAAAGAGCAGCTTACGAGCATACCACTGCCTAATGCGCATAATATCTGTTCCATGCTGCTCGCAGGGTATCCGATTTAATTGTTCAACAATTGTATTCACGTGTGACCAATTCTGCGAGTAAAAAAAATATGAACAAAAGGTAGTAAAATGTAGGCATGCACCAAATCATTCCTAGGGGCATAAATGAACTCTCAAAGTACCTGCATCAATATGACATCTGCGTGGTCAACAATTAGAACCTGCTCAAATGGTAATTATACCGTTAGTTAATAAAAAGGTAGGGAGCGTTACTGAAGAAGATTAGAGCACAAATCATAATCTTCCAAACTAATATCTTAATTCCAACAAATATTACCTCTATAGAAGAAAGATAATCAACATTTTTTTCCTTAAACATTTCTGCCTCCCCAATTTTCTGAAGGAAGAAAATCGACAAGACTAGTCAGAGATTATAACAATTTTCGTACTATACATTAGAGCTGCATAGTTTTAGGATTAAGAGAATAAGCTTTGAGCAAATCTGTTGATATATTGAAACAGGGTATAGAAATGAGAAGAACAGAGTTCTGACCTGTATAGCATAGAGCAGATATCCCCCCCCCCCCCCCCCCCCAAAAAAAAAATTCAGTCAAGAGGTGAAAATTTTCAAGTTCCCTTTATTAAATAAACTTATGGCTTTGAATTCTAGATAATGTTTTTTTCATTGTCTGTATTCTGGAAAAGTATCCTGTATACGTCGAACATAAGAGAGAATCAAGGATTTCATGAAAGATCTAAACACCCATAAAATGAAAAAGAGCAATGAGGATCAAACACGCGTATGTATTAGCAAACTTACAGTGATTAGGCCAAGAGGGGAAGCAACAATCATGTCTGACGAGTAAAAGTCACCATACAACTTTATGCTCCTCCTAAAATAAAAACATGCATATGATTTGCCTTTGGAGAAAAAATGACAGCAAAAATACTCCATATTGATCTCTCCATAACTTCGATATTATGCTGTGGAATTACTCATATCTATGTACACAGTTTCATTAACTTATGAGTGTTGCTAGCATGTTCTACCCTATTATGTAAGAAAAGAATTAGTGGCTCGATTTGTCCATCTTCATATATGGCATATATTCTAATGTGCCACATCCATGAATTGGTAGGCAAAGCTTACTTAGATAAAAACCAAGTAAAAGCATCATTAGTCAAAGTAAAAGCATACCGCCACAATATGGCCCATGAACACACATGACATTTCTAAAAGTTATGGGTTTCATTAAATCACTTCGTTCTTTTTATAAATTGTGATTTTATTTAGCAAGATGTGTATCAAGGACTACTATGACATGCAGCAAGTTGAACGAACTTTACTTTTCCCATAGGAACCTGCTTGCATAATAACATAGTACTTCAGCGACTTGTTCATGACTGAATAAAGTGAGCAAATTATTTTCCTTTGAATAATGCTTACCAACAATATAGAGCATCTAAGTCGAAAAGCACTTGCAAAAAGAAATGCAGCTTTCATGGTGTAGTAAATGTTGGACAATTTCACCAGAGTTGAGAAATATACCTAGTGAACTTAATTCCTAGCATGAAGTGATCATTGTTATTTCCCCCAAATAATGCTTGAAAATCAGATGGTTTTGAGATCTTCTTTGATTCAGAGCTTTCGACGGCATCTTCATCCTCCCTATCTTCGCTTACTCCGGCCCCGAATTCTCTATAGAAACGTTCACGCTCCTCTACATTAGACTGAGGGAATCAACACCACATTAATAAAGTATGAAGAAGGTATATCTCCATCTAATACAGGCCTACATGATGTCAAAATTAGTAATATGATCTTAGTTAAGTGGAGCCTAACTGAATAATGTCTTCACCTTAATTACAGGGGTCCACCTTACGATCTCTCTCTAAGTTAACTATTCCACATTTAACAAGGTCAAAGCGTTTTTCCACGAATCTAAAGGTTCATATCAACCCCTAAAATAAAAGGGCAATAAGTCATTATACATTCTAGTCTTCCAGATGTAGCTACATTTCGCAAATCAAATATGTAATTCCTTTTATAACAATAGCTTCATCAATAAAATTATACCTTTAGCCGATCAAAAATAAAAAATACCTATCACTAGCATATCACCGCTAAACTGATTAAGAAAAGTTCGCATATTACTGCAAAATAAAATAGCAAACACTTGATATATGTTACTATCTTACAGCGGCAAGGCATCTGTGGGAAGGTGTTTGGTCCCCAACACTAGTCAATATATCTTACTAGGCAAAGTTTTGTGCGTTTTGCAGCAACTAACTACAATTCTAGGTCAAGCAGCAACAGCATGAGCAACAATACTCTTGCTTCGTTCCAACAAGGTCAATTAGCATTTCATGGAACCTGCTGCACAAATCTTGGGAAGACACTGCTGAATATATTTTGCATGGGAATTCAGAAAAATGGAAAAGCTCATGTACCTTGTATTTAGGAGGTGTCAAATCAATCAGCCGCTTGACTACTCGAAATGCAACACTTGCTAGAGGGAGAATGATCAGAACCTGAACCAACCACAAGAAAATGATCGATACTATTACAAGTTAACCAACCACAAGAATATGATCAATGCTATAAGTTTCACAGTGCTTCATCAATGATGAGGACACTAAACCAGACACCGAGAAATGCAAGATCACTGTGCAAAAATTGATATAGATCAAACAACTGCTCTAAAAATAGAAGTACATTCATCAAGAAAATAAGCCAAACCATCATCAAGAATTGTATTGGAAAAATTGATCACACTCATATTAAACTCCAGAATATAAAACCGTAAGTGAACCTCAAAAGCGCAATTAATTCTTAAAAATAGGAGATAGTCAACTCTCAACTGTCCGTTTGCTAGGTCGAAAGACATAGTTGAGCAGGTGGTTAATGTTAGGGGTAAGGAAAGTCTCATGATAAAATGATTACAGGTAGTAGGATTCTGAACCTCTAAAGGGGAATAAGCTTATCTATAGGGATCTGATCCATTGGCATAATCAGAAAAAAGTTTTAAGAGATATATTAATATCCGCAGCTGAAATACAAGTAAAATATAAAAGCAGATAAGGAAGAAATGAACTAGGATCATAGCATAAGTAGAAGGGCATATGAACAAGAGAGGTTGATCTAGTGGAAAGAGCACTCCACTTCAAGACGTCGGAAGTTCGAGACACCGAGAGAAGTGGGAAGAAGCACTCTTGGTCCCTCCTGAGGGGATTTGGGGAGGTAACGTTTACCAAATCACGAAACAAAGAATTTAGAAGGGCATACCACATGTGCCAAACACATTAACAGGCCCTATTGAGTCCCAGACGAAGAAGACATTTTATCAGGTATTTCTGATTCTTTGGAGATGGGAAATGTTGTGGTTCAGCTTTGTTAGAATAGTCATGTAAATAGGAGTAAATAAATAACCCTAATCCAATATATGTTAGGAGTAGGACATGTTATGTGTGTATATATATAGGGCTCATTGTAACATATGTATAGACATCAATAATATATTTTCTCCCGTGCTTTCTCACATGGTATCAGAGCTTTAGTGAGAAACATATCGTTGTGCATCATTCCAGCGACTTCCGGGAAGAAAGAACTCAGTCACCGTGCAATTTTCCGGTGACCTAAGTGACTTATTGCGTCAAAGTCACTAATTAACAGTGTTGTGCAAAATCCAACACCACCACAAGGTTCCCAAGAGAGATCCGACCAAACCCCAGAAAAAATCACCGGAAAATAGCCCTCCACGCGCCGTCACGCGCCTGTCGGAACTCTGCCGCCGGCGGCGCGTCTGTCCCACGCGCCGGCGCGTGAGGCCTCTTCCGGCCATTTTTCGGCTTCGCTTCTTCAGGACAGTTGGATCGCCCTGCAATTCCGAGCCTGTCCATATTTTTATTTTTTAATTCCGACCACTTTGAGTTTTTCCGGCGACTACACTGATTTTTCCGGCAGCTACAGTACTTTTCCGGCAAACACAGTGTTTTCTTCATCTGTCTCAGAGAATTTTCAGTTGATTCTTTTTTGTTATTTAGTGATAATCCAACCATGTCTTTGGGAGTCGATGCTTTCGGGTCTAGAAACCCGAGTTCTGGCAGTTCCGGTGTTATGATTACCTCAGAACCTTTAATGGGAGGTTCAAACTACTTAGATTGGGCTTCATCTGTCGAGTTGTGGTGTAAAGGTCAAGGAGTTCAAGATCATTTAACAAAAAAGGCTAGCGAAGGTGATGAAAAGGCCAAAACACAGTGGGAGAAGGTCGATGCTCAGTTATGTAGTATCCTGTGGCGATCTATTGATTCCAAGTTGATGCCCTTGTTCCGTCCATTCCAGACATGTTATTTAGTTTGGGAAAAGGCTCGTAATCTATACACTAATGACATATCTCGTTTCTATGATGTAATATCGCGAATGACAAGCTTGAAGAAACAGGAATTAGATATGTCTACTTACTTGGGACAAGTTCAGGCAGTCATGGAAGAATTTGAGACGTTGATGCCAGTTTCTGC